AATCTTTGCATCTGCCCTACCAGGGCCTGCTTCCTGGGGTGAACCCTCCAGCTAGCTCACAGCCCCCCTCCCCCACAAGTTTGAGGTAAAAGAGCAGGAGTTTGGGGCCAACACCAGAAGGTCCCTCCAGAGGTTGGGAGCGTCCTCTGAGCTCCTCCTGAGTGGCAGGCTCTCCAAAGCCTGTCTGGGGCTGCCTGGTGAGGCTGGGGCTCACTTAGTCACCCAGCAGCTGGGGTGGTAGACTCCTAGGTGACTCGCTAGGGAGGGGCCCAGCACAGCCGAGACTCTGGTGCTCTGAGAGGAGGTAATGAGGCTAACCCCAAATCAGGGGCTGAAAGGGGGACCCCATGACACAGGCAGGGGGCAACCGGAAGGTGGGGAGCTGCAGGGATTGCTTAGCCTTGGTCTTAAGAGGAGGGGAGCCCTTTTGGGCTGGGCAGAGTCCAGCAAGCCTTCTTCAGCCAACAACCAACACCCAGCACCTAGCACCCAGCACCCAGTGGGGTCCAGGATAGCTTTCTGATCCTTTAGCTCTTGGTGAACTTCACAAGCAGCGGGGACTGGCAGCTCCTACATTCAGACAAACTAAGGCTGGAGAAGGAAGACATCTGGGCTTCTGGGTCTGACCATCACACTGACCACAGCTGGGTGTGTCACAAGGCCCCCCACATTCGTACCTGTGAGCACCCAGAAACCTATGGAGGGCCCTCTTTCCAAGCACCAAGATTTTTTTTTTTTTAGGCACCAAGTTAAGCCATGCCTGAGTCTCAGCCAGGAAGTGAGCAAGCCAGGTAGGCAGACAGGACTGGGAATCCGGGGGGAGGACAGGATCACAGGCCAGGCCACCCAGCTCTCCTAGTTCCTGGGAGTCACCTGTCCACCTTTCCAGCCTTGACTTGCCTGATGTCAGCAGCCCTTGGCCAGGCCTACTGTGGGTGCTGTGGGGAGAGGCAGGCACAACCCACTCCACTTGGATGGCGATGAACCCGAGCTCCGGATTTGGCCTTTATAGTAAGATAGTGGCTAGGGCTGGGGATGTAGCTCAGCAGCACAGTGCCTGCCCAGCAATCACAAGGTCCTGAGTTAGATTCCCAGTACCCCCCCCAAGACAGGGTCCAACCTGCAGCAAGTGGCTCAGCACAGTGCCAGAGCCAACGCTCTGAAAGTAATGAAATGGTGGGCACGGGCAACCCCAGCACTCTGGGAGTCTGAGGCCTGAGGACCCAAGTCAGAGCTCAGTTTGACTCACTAACCAATCATCAGACTCTGTCAGTGCAGTCTCCACTGCTGAAAGGAGGAGACAGGGGTGCAGATGGAGATGAAGAAAAAAAAAAAAAAA